CCAAGGAAAGAAAAAAGACAAGGCCCTTTGGCCTCTGCCCCCCGCCCCCCTGTCCTCAAACACCGCCTCACAGTCACCCCCGATTCCCACTCCCAACCTTTTTTTGTATCTCTTTTCTCTCTTCTCTCATTACAGATTCATCTCTCCTCTCCTCTTTGCCTCCCACTGCCGAGTGACAAATCCCTCTTAAAATAACACTGGTGACTCACCCAGCGGATACTGTATTCCATTTATGGGTACCTTTGTTTCCCCAAGGGGCACAGAGCATCTCACAGATACTCAGTCTTATTTTTACCTCGCCCTTGGCAAAAGAGGGTCTGTCAAAAGGGAATAAGAGTGTAGCTCGGGTTTTTGTCTGAATGACTGGAGCGCTGGGGCCTATACAGTCTTTTTACGCTCCCAGGCCTCCTCCTTCTGTTTGACTTCCGGATCCATTAGCAACCTCACCAGAAATTCGACGAAAATCTTATTAATCACCTGTGCTCTTTCTTGACCAGCCACCCAAGCTGGAAGCCTCGAACAGCCCCACTTCCTTCCTCCCACTGGTTCCGCCCGCACATCCGGTTGACAACCAAAGCCATGCCGGTCCCGCCTTGGGGCTCTGGCTCCTATTCCCACCGCCGCCACCTCATTCGGGCCACCACCTCCTCCAGCCCGGCCTGATGCAGCGGTCACCTCGCTGTTCCCCCCCACCCCCAACCATTTTCTGCACACACACGCGCACACACACACACACACACACACACCCCAAGGTAGTATTTCCAACCTCAATCTGATCACGCTGCCCCGCCGAGGGGTGCTCCCGTGAAACCCCTCCCCTTTTCCAGGGCATTCGGGGCTTCTCAGTCTAGCCTCAGCGACCTTGCCTTTATGACCCCCTGTGTCTTCACCCCAGCAGTCCCAGAAAGAAGCAGTGTCCCTTGACGTTCCTGGATTCTCCTGCCTCCGGGCTTTCATACCTGGGACCCCGCCCTGGGGAAGGAGCACCGGCCTGTAGCATCTCTTCCCGGAAAGCTCCTTCTCAGGTGTAAAGGTGCAATTTTTACATCACCTCTTCTGCAGAGCTTTTCCTAGCCTCCCTGGGGCACTTTGACCTCTTCTCTCTTCTCCATGCCTATTGCTTTTTCCAATAACTGCTAGAGTAGAGATACATATAATGTAGTCTATATCCCACCAATTGGAAGCCTGCGATGTCCCGGGCACTATGCCAGGCACTAGGAAACAGAGAGATCAAATTCACAGTCCCTACCTCCACGACGAAGACGGGAAATAAAGAAAAGTAATTGGTACTTCAGAGTGAGATGAGCCATAACAGAGCTAAACCCAGGGGCCGAGTGGGCACATGCGAGGCCGTCACCTAGGCTGGGGACATCCCAAAGCTCTGAGAAGAGACCAGCCCTGAGCTGAGCTTCTGGGAATGTCCAAGTGGGAACGGCTTTGGGGACTGCACTTTCTCCCCCACGAGACCGCGGGCTCCATAACAGCGGACCAGATCCTGTGCCCCCTGTACTTGGCAAGGGCTCAGCAAATTCGCAGGAGACCGAAAAATCAAAAGGTTTGGGCTGTGGATCTCTAAAACCCCCACCGATACCAGGTTTATGGCTTCTCAACCCAGCCTCCTCCTTCCTCTTGGTGGTTGACTCATCTTGGTCCCACAGATCCAGTCTTAGCCAGTAAATAATGCAAATAATAAGGTGATTCCACAAATGCGGTTTTTCTGCATCCCGGCCCTGGCCGCCCGCAGCCCAGGAATCGGGGACCCAACTGGCTGGCCTGAGGCATTTGGCGTGACAGCTGAGCCACCCGGTCAGAGTCAGGCAGTCACGCGTCCCTGATGGGCACCCGGGCTAAGCAGAAAAGGCCCGAGAGGAAAAGGGAAAACGTGTCACCCCAGGCCAGGCCAAGTTCAAAAGTCACCAGGTCCAGAACCACCTCCCAACTGGCCCCCAGCCCCCCCTCTCTCGCCGCTTCTCATTCTCTGCCTTTCAATTTCTACTTCGAAACCAGGCTCATTTCCCACAGCCTTGCACGTGTGGGCATGCTCCTTGTTTTGGCTGACAAAGCCCCGGCGACATCTCTATCTCTCTCCCTCACTTTTGCCCCCACCCAGATTATTCTCTAACCTTCTCTTTGTCCCTCAGTCCTACGAAACCCTGTGCATTTCCTCAACCCATCTCTCTCGCCTGCAGGCAGCTTGACCGGTTGCTCGTTCTTTTTGCCTGGAACGCCTCTGGACAACTGGCTCAGCCTTCCATCTCAGGTTAAAGGCTACTTTCCAGGGGCAGCCCGTCCTGTCCCCAGGCTGAAGCCAGGACAGCTTTACGCCTGCCAGTGACTGCCCCCACTCTCCGCTCTCCCTCTCGTCACCCCTGTGGCCCTCTGGTGAACTTGTCCCCTGAGCTGGGTAAGCTCCCCGCAGGGAAGGACTGTGTCTGGTTCCCCCCTCCCCCACCCTGCATCCCAGGGCCCAGAAAAGCATCCAGACTGCGTGCATCAGGCACACGTAAGGGTCTGCCGGATGAGTGCAAGAAAGAACACGAACGAATTAATTAGTTGGTTCGATGAAGGTATTATGTAGGCCTGCTCGTCTCTTCGTGGGTTCTGTGTATGTGGTCTGGCCTTCAGGGGACTGGCCTCTGAGGAGAGGAAGGCAGCACGACCTAGTGGTCACGAGCTTGAACTCGGACCACACCTCCAGGGGCTCGGATCTGAGCTGTAGGCCTCACAATTTGCACACGTTCGTTGTTTTGTCTCCAATCGAGGTCGGTTATGCGATTCACTGTCTTAACAGTTGCAAAGCAATCCACTAGCGCTGGTGACGTAGTCACCCCTATTTAAGTCTTTGCTGTAGAAAACAGAACGGTACTAACACATGCAAAGTCAGGACATGCTGCCCGTAGGTGACAGGACAAGAAATAAATGATAGGTTTATGACTTAAAGCTATAAACAGAACGAACTGAAAATAGCCACATAATCATACAGAGACAACGGCAGAAACTTGGGGCTAAGTGAGCTAAGTTCTCGTGGTTCGTAGAGGCAGTCACAGATAATGTCCAAATCGACAACCCGGAAGACAGTGGTGTGAAACTCTTGGTGATTTGAAGGTAACTATGGGAAGGACCCTCCACCAAAAGAGTGAAAAGCAGTTGTTTGTAAGGAGGAAGATTAGAAAAGAGAACTCATAGGGCCGGGGACTGTGGGTTTCCTTGGCAGCCCTTTTGTGCTATTTAAATTTTGACCATATACATGGGGCGCCTGGGTGGCTCAGTCGGCTGAGCGTCCGGCCTCGGCTCGGGTCATGGTCTCACAGTCCGTGAGTTCGAGCCCCGCGTCGGGCTCTGGGCTGACAGCTCGGAGCCTGGAGCCTGCTTCGGATTCTGTGTCTCCTTCTCTCTCTGCCCTTCCCCTACGTGTGCTCTGTCTCTCTCTCTGTCTCTCAAAAATAAATAAAGATGTAAAAAAAAAATTAAATTTTGACTATATATATATAGAGAGAGAGAGAGAGAGAAGGAGGGAGGTGCTGTACAACGTTTGGCTGAAACCCCTCGGCATCACACAGCACCTCTTTAGATAATGTGATAAGTTAACAAGACGCACATACATACATTCTTCCACATATCCCATGATCTCATGAAAACCTGTAGCGTCTGGGAGACATTGGGGAGAGGCACATACGCAGCTCATTCAAGAATCCGTGCCTTCCCCATCCGTGACTTTGCCATGAGTCGCCCCTCACAAAGCGAGTATTTTATCCTTGGTGCTTGTTTCTTCAAGACCGGCTTTCCAACTTAGGGTGGGCAAATTGAAGCGGGAGGGATAGATGGGTCCACAGTGTCCTGGGAAGCAGCTTTCTGGTGGTTTCCGCTCTGGCTCGCTAGCTGAATGACTAGAAGTGAGCTGATTCCAACCAGCTGCCCTCGGTTACTCTCTGAAAGCATTTGATAGCGTGGAGTGCCCCCTGAGGACTAGAGAGTAGTAAGTCCTCTCTCTTCGCTTCAAATGATCAAAGCACAGTAAGTTCCTGCAGTTTAGAGTCAGACCTAGATGTCCACATCACCAGCTACTGGGGTAGTATAGCCATAAACGTGAATCAAATCGGCAATTTAATGAAAACGTGAGAGAGCGTGGGTCTGGGATATTGAGCGCCTGGATGCACATTTCATTAAAACTTTACCGCAAGTTGTGATCACATTCAAGGAATGTTCCAGGTTGACAGTGTTTGAGGTGTTTAAAAGCTTACTGGCAGGCAAGCGTGCCTAGAACGCTCCCTGAAGTGGTGACAATTACAGATGTCACAGAAAGGCAGCATTGCCCATTCAAAGAGCATTGACGGTCATTTGAATAAAGTATCTTCTCACCAAACGTCTGACCTTTGCTACCTTGACAAAGAACCGACACGTCCTGTGTCTGCGTTCTTTCGCAGGAGACCCAAAGAAACACAGAGGGATAAGAGAATTTGCTAGAGATCAAACATGACTGAAGCCACTTTTTGAGTAGGTGGACACTCAGGATAGAAATGCAACAACAGTATTTTCTCCCTTATTCCACAAACAGAACTCTATTAGGAAAACAGGTTGAGGTAGATCTTAAATCGTTTCCACGGTCACCATTGTCACTTGTGACTCGCGTGTGGAGAACCACTGCAAGCTGGAACCTGAGAATGGTGAATACAGCTCTCGTCTCTGACAGACACTGGCCAAAATCGCTCCCGTCATGAGTACCGTCGAAGGGAGGTACGGTTAGGACGGAGCTAGAACTTACGTGATGTATTTCCCTTTCCCAACACGCAATGCATAGGCTTTGAGACTCTTCTGAGTAATAAATATTTATTAATTAAAGCATCTACATGAATATGAGAGACACGAAAAATAAAAATACAAGAAAATAAGTGGACTCGTGCAGCACTTTTATAAAAAGTGAATACAATCTAATTAGTCCAGGAGTTTGTAAAGGGAAATGAGCTGGCGGGCTAGCGAGGGAACAAGGTGCCAGAAGGCCACTATGTGGTCAGGGTCACAGCTGAATTGGTGAAATGTTGGGCTCCTGTTGGCTTGGTCTGTTTCACGTTTCTTCTGGTGGACTTGTCCACGTTTTCTACTGCCTTTTTCACCCACTCGGCTTGTGGATCCGCGCAGACCTTGAGGCCACGTCTGGTAATGAATCTGCAAAGCAAGGCAAAGATAGAGTCAGTCACATCCGTCTTGTTTTGGGGACAAAGGTGATTTCCTTATTTAATTTCTTTGGGTAAAGTTGCACTTATGTGTTGGGGGAGCTGCTCTTCTGAAAATGAGATCCTGGAAAGACAATGGTTCCCTGTAGGCTAGTTCGTCACGCATTTCCTCAAGATACAGTAACTGCTAAAATATGGCGCCCGACTTTAGCACACCATAAGGAAAGGGAAGGGAGGTGAAGGGAAGGGAAGGGAGGGGTGAGGGAAAGGAGGGGAAGGGAAGCATCTCACACCAGTGTGGCCCTATGGTCAGATCATGACCCAAACCAGCCATCTCCCAACCTAGCCTTCAGAACGAAGCACAATATTCATCCGATTCCCAGTCAGACTCTTCCGCTAAGCTAAATCAGACAGAAGGATGATATTCTTTATCTGATTGCCAAATTGCTTTCAAAAATTGCCACTCGGTGCTCCATAAAGACGTGGCTAATACAGAAAAACAAAGGGGCTGTTGCTTCGCTTGAAGTCTTCCTCTGGGCCAACTTCCTGAGGAGGGCAGTATTTCTATACGCTGTGTCCCATCAAGCCCAGCTTTTGGGGAAACAAACTCACATCACTGCTTTCATGGAGCCCTCCTTGATGGTGTAGGTCTTGATGTTTTTAACTGGCAGTTTCTTGGTCGTCAGGCTCACGCAGATGCTCCTTTCTAGAACTTCACTCCCCACGCCTGGTGAAGAAAACCAAGCAAACAAAAATAAAATATCGTTTCAAAGAGCATAAATGTTGCAATGCTACGAATAAACTGACAAAGGGTGATGTGATAAAGAGTAATTTGGGGACGGCAACAGAAAATGTGGGGGAGCCACATGTATTATTTTAAATGTTAAAGTGTGAGATATATAAAGGATGTCGTTCATCAACTGTTCGTCCTCAGTAGAAACCCCCCCAAGGGGGATTACGCTTCAGCTTAGACAGCCATCTTACATTGAAGAAGGGGGAATAACTGGGGAGGGGTAATAATAATTAAGAGTGTGGTAGAATCTCTTTTTTTTTAATGTTTATTTATTTTTGAGATAGGGAAAGAGGCAGGGCATGAGCAGAGAGAGAGCAGGAGGCACAGAATCCGAAACAGGTTCCAGGTTCTGAGCTGTCAGCACTGAGCCTGATGTGGGGCACTGCTTGGGAAACAGCATTTTTCTCTGAGAAGCACCTAACATGGATTCCCCAAGACCCCAAGAATCCTCTAGACTCCAAACCCCCACATCTTCTTATTCCCAGCAGCATCTGTGCACGTGTGTTACGGCTGAAGGCATCGCCCTCGCTCATATTGCTGAGCTGAGTCAGAGCACAGATTGCTAGAGGCTAAACCCCAGTGGGACGCGTAGCGGTCGGTCCTTCAGGGTAGAAACTTGGGAAGTGACTCAGGGAGGAAACTTGGCTACAAATTAAGAGACTGAGAGTTAGCTGAAACCTTAATTACACTCGAAGGATAGTCCCTCTTACTGCCAGAGCCATGAGAAGTAAACTCCAATCAACTGTGGGGGGAAATGATCCTTTAAGAAATAAAGATGCGTAAGGGTGCGTGGGTGGCTCAGTCGGTTAAGCGTCTGACTCTTGATTTTGGCTCAGGTCGTGATCTCAGGTTTGTAAGTTCGAGCCCCACGTCGGGTCCCACACTGATAGTGCGGAGCCTGCTTGGGATTCTCTCTCTTTCCCTCCCTCTCTGCCTCTCCCCTGCTCTCTCTCTCTCTCTCTTTCTCAAAAATAAATCAGTAAACTTAAAAAAAAGAAAGAAACATGTAGAACAGTCAGGTGAGGCTTAGTATAGCTGGGTCTCATCTTGGTCTGTCTTACAGGATTCTCTGAATGGGTATAAGGCATTGATCTGTCAGCCCTTATCACATGGTCTCTTATAAACTAAAGAAGTTTATCATTAATGGGAACAACATTCATAGCAGTAATCATAGACTCTCCTTCCTACTTGAAGGTGATACTGATTTCCTGGGTATGAAGGCATGAGCTCCCATTCATTTTTTCAAACAGAAATTTATGATTTGCCTCAAGACATACACCCTCCAATTCATCCTCGCATTGTGGCAAAAATTTCCAAAATTCTGAGAATGGATCAAGGGAGCTATTAAACAGGCAAAAGCTACAAAGGCATAGACAATCATCACCACCAGGCCACGGCTAACGTTAATCAAGATGTTATTACTCATGAGGAAATCTGCTAAGTCGCCCTAATTTTTTTCATTTACATGTTAAGCCCAGGTGAGAGTGTCTGTCATGATATTCAACTTACAAGTAAGTGTAGGTCCAGAGAGGCTACGAAACGTACCCTCAAGTCACCCAGTTACGAAAAGTTGGAGCCCAGACTCTAAGCGAGTTCTGTCTGTCTTCGGCATCCATCAAGTCCCCCGAAAGCAAAATTACCCTTCCCATTCTGCGCAGGGGAAGTCTGAGGCTGACCCCGGGGAAAGCAGTTTTCTCGAGTCAGAACCTGACTCAGACCCCAGACGTGTGCCCACCTGCCTGCATTATCTGTTGCCCGTCTCACGCAGAACCTATCGGCTTACCTTCCGCCATGAATTCGGTGAGAAAGCAGATGGCGAGCAGGGCCAGGACGAGAGGTCTCATGGCTGAAGTCCTTCTGAGCTGTGCAGGCAGAGTGAAGATGCGACCGCTCTCAAGAGCCTCTTTATTCCTCCAGTGGTGAGCGCACTTCCTGTGGTAAGAGGGGGCTTTCGGGGTGGGTGTGGAATCGTGGAAAGTCTTTGCAGTACAGATGCCTTTCTCTCCGAAGAAAAAGTTCCTTTGCCCCCCCCACGCCCCCCCACTCGCGCTAACCCCACACCTTGTGGCCTTGGCC